TTTTTTTTTTCGATTAGCATAACAAATGAAGAGACAAAACAAAACAGAACAAAAAACAGTTGATGAGCTTTTGTTATTAGTCTTTAAAATTTAAAAAAAGAATCTTCAAGTTGCCACGTAAAACAACTAAGTTTTGTTCTTTTTTTTTTTCTCTGGAAAAAACATTTTACAGACATCTTACCGATTTCGTAATTCAGCCAAATCGTCACGAAGCCGAGCAACTTGAACATCGATTCGAGCCTTACGACGAGCACCGTCATCAATTTCTTTACGAGCTTTGCTAAGTGAATCCGAGTATTGCACCTAGAAATTCAACAATTAATTTCCTTCAGGAAGCTTCCAACACATCAATATCATTTGATAAGTCGATTAGCAAAAAATGCATTTGTTCTTCGTTAACTGTTGTTTAAAAATACGAAATATTTAACGAAAGTCTTTAAAATGCAGAGGGAGAAAAAAAAAGAGAAACAGAAATGCAGGTGGGGAAAAAAGTACTATAGGTTGTGAAAATCAAGCAAAAAAAGGCTGAATGAAATCAACAAATGAATTGTTCCGTAACTAGGAAACAGCTAAGCTAAGTTCCTGCTTCTTTTTACATTTTGCTCTTCAGAATTAAAGCTGACTTAGATGTAGCTATAATGTTTCTATCCATCTATCTATCTATTTCAATCAATTATCTACCTGTCCGTTTATATGTCGTCTATTAAACTCTTCAGATTGCTGGAACGAGATATGTTACGTAAAAAAAAAACTTTTCCCTCATTTTACTGCATTTTTTTCCACTTTTCTCGTTTTCTTTTTTTTTTGTATTGTAGTGTTTGTTTTATCAGAAACAAAAGTGAAATCAGAATGAAAAAAGAAGAACTCTTGCAATATGGAATGCTGAAAGGTTGAAGAAAATAAAAAAACAAAATAAAAAAGAGAATTGAAACGAACAAAAAATTTTCTTCTTAAAAACACACAATTCTGTCCAGTTCATTTCCGTTCCGTTCACTCAGAAGACCTGTAGGCCGACATACAGACAAAGATACAGACACAGACACAGACTACGATACCGATACCGATACCAATAGCAACACCAACTCAGAAATACAAATATTCGTTTATCTATCCATTTATTTATCTGTTAAGTAACAGCAGTAGCAACTGCAGTGCTGACTAGGTAGTTCGTACTTGTTGCTCTTCTCCGTTTTCTCCATCATTTTCTGCACTGTCTTCTTGTCGG